TCGGAAGTCCCGAACATCTCTATTCGACGGCTCGAAATTTTTCTCGAGGGCTCGCTACCTATCTGAAATCCGAGGGCTCGAAATCGATACCCCTCGAAAGCTTATATCGAGGGTCCGAAGTGCCATTTTCCGAGGGGTCGAGCACTCGCCGCACCCCTCGAACGACTTTTTTCATCTGCATGGGCATATCGGCGATAACATTAAGAAAATCGTTTTTGTAAAAATCCGCTCGAAACCGCGATTCCGGTGTGTAAAAACCTAATAAACGGTCTGACTCCCGCGGTGAAAAAGGGGCAAGAAAAGGGCAAAAGCCGCGAGTTTTTATACCGCCGTTAACCGCGGTTTTATTCAAAAAACGTCTCCGTGGGTAGTCATGTCTTAGTCATTTTGAGTAGAAAAAGCTAAAGAATGAATTGTTCAGCGCTTTTCGCATGTTTATTAGGCAACATATTTTCCAACAGCAACTATAAAATGATCTCAAACGACTACTTTATTTTCTAAGTACGAGACATCGAGGCGAATTGTCTATGAAATGACTATAGTCTAATTTTCGTATACGATAAATAAATAAGTGCGTGCTTTCTTCAAAGTTTTACGTGCTATTTGCTCTAAATGAAATAGAAAATGTTTTCTTTTGTAATAAAAATTATATTTATATCAGATTAGTGACGTGTAATCGAACGCAAGCTATTTTGGAAACCCAACAAGTAAAGTTTAGAAGTAGATGCAGAGTGGACTTAATATTCATGATTATGGTAGCCGATTATATATATGTCAACTAATTTTGACCCAAGGTATTGCCAAAATTTGAATTTGCGGGGATCAAAAAAATAAAAGTAAGTTACGTTTAAGACTGAAAGTAGATGTGATTAAAAGAAATATATTTATCTCATTTTATGTTGTGAAAAATGCGATGAACTTTCTCATTTACAGCTCTAAATGCATGGGAAAAGGATAAGCATGAGTGTGTATGAAAAATTTATTGGATGGGTTTAATACCATATTCAAAACATTTGATGTTTTATCACCGAACTAATAATGTTCATTGCGATACAATGATTTTCAGTTTCAACTGTCTGTATATTATTGTAGACAAAAGCGAAATTTAGGCAAATGTAAAATTTGCTTCGATAAAGACGGAAGTCGAACTCAAACTTTGTCTGGGCAAAACTCAAATGTTAGTTTTGACTGGTCAAACCTTAAATCTAAAATTAGAATTTGAGTTTCACCTGAATATAGTCAGACATCATAGTCCTCACTTCAACCTTTGTTTTCTTACCTATTCAATTTTTTTTTATTGAATTAATTTAAACAAACACATTGAAAAAATTCAACACCTTAATGTAGATTAAATTTAACTTAACAGAATAGTTTATAAGTTAAATAATTCCAAATTAATATTTACAATTCATGAACTCGGTGAATTTTATATAGGATGTGCGGCCATATATAGTAGAAAGGAACATCTCCATCTCGTCCTGGGAAAAAGCAAACGTTTGTTGTTCCGATATGAATGACGAACATTGAATAAAAGCTTCTCGCAAACCTGTTATATGCCTATATTTAGATGAATATTTTCCCTTCGGTCAATAGAACGTAGATCAATGGCACGAAAGTGACTTTTATTCGTCAGTTGAATTTGAGTTTCGAAGTATAGTTCAATGCTTGAAATTCGAGCTATGTTTTCGAAGTACGACGTCAACCTAAGCTTTTCCATACAATAATATCACCGGACTCATTATCAGGGAAAAATTTCGATGCATCAAAGAGTCTTTGGAAATGACATGTTCAGATTGAGTCCGCAAAATTCGACTGCGCAAAGTGTATCTTTTTAAAGCTCCTGTCTGCAATTTCAATACATGGCTTTTACGAGATGAGATTCATGTTCATGTTTAATTTTTCAATATGAAGTGTAAATTTAAACTGTTCTCGTTCAATACGGTCATTATTTTCTTCGATTGATGATGTCTTTATATCAGTCATCATTTATGAGTATATTCAAAACTGCACTCAGAAACCCTGAATTAGCAAGATTGTCAGAGGAAGTTCTTATATAATCCCTAGGTTCTTTAAATAAAAATACTCTATCCAAGAATCACAGTTTATTTATCATCGTATATAAGTATCACGAGCCCGAAAAAGTATACGCTTTTATTCAACATGATTACATAACTCCAAACAAATAACTGAACAGTACATATAACTGTATGGTAATGTCGATAACAGCTTCAGATATGCCGATGATCTCGTGTTCTTATTGTCTAATATTCAGCCACAAACACATGCCAGATCTAATGAACTTAGAAGTTTCTTCATGACACCTTCTTTCAAACAATAATTTTTGCCAAGTCTGCCCGAATCAACGCATATACCAGTACAGCAATCAGAATCTATTGAGCATACGGCTTTTCTGGATTTACATGTACGGAGATTTCTTTCTTCTGTTTGTGCAGTGAGGATAGTGACATAACTGACTAACAGGAACAAAATAATTGAGGAATAATTCATTCTATAAGAATATTTATACTTTCTTATGAAATGAAACTAAGCGGAAGTTGATAGTTGCAAATGTGAAGAATAAGAATGACTGATAGAAAAAATTGGCGCTGACTAATAAAACCAAAATATTTATCAAGGTAATATTTATTTCTTTTAAAGCACAGAATGAAACAAGTATAGTGAATACATACAATTTTTATTACATGTCTTATCTTCTGCAAACACTACGTTTTTACTTTTTACACGATAGTTTCTGCAATCTGGCAGTATATTTGAACTCAAACTTTCTAGATCAGGCAACATATTTCAGATGCTGTTAAGTCTTTATTATACGATCAAAAAGTACCAGAATAACCTATATTTTGATTCAATAAAATTGTTCTAAATTATGCGAATATGTTCCAGTTCCTGTTTTCAGATGGATTATACTCTGAAAACACAGCATCCTTTAAAAACCGGACTGATTTATGACTAAACTTTTTCGGTTTTTGAAATATCAAAATGGATTTTTAAACGGAACACGGTGTATTTGGAAGTGTTTATCAATATTATCATCAGCTCTATAAGGCCATACAGATCTATCCCTGACGGTAGACATTTGATCACTGATTTACTTTCGTCATGCTTTACCTGATTTGGCTTCAGGAACATGATGAAAGCCTAATTTCTATTCCATGATGCTCCGACCGCATATGGTATTCCTTTCCCATGTCGTTATTCATAGAACATCCAATTAATCTCAACCTTATTTCTTGTGCAATATTATTTAATCATAGATATACTTGTTTTATTACGATCTTGTGATACATGGCTATCCTCTTTAAGAACCAATATAGCATAGATTAGTAAGAAGGGATATTTTCAGTTCATGTTGCGTTGAAAGAACTCTCGTTAGTTTTAATACTCACTGATATTAAATAAAGTTTTGTTGTATGTTGTTGTTCAATTAATTCAGTTAACAACGATTGAAGACTAGTCAAAGCAGCTTCAGATTAGTGTTGTCAGAGATTGTGGCGAAACTAGACTTTTCATCTTTTGTATGTACATATCCGGTATCCATGCAATGACACATTTTTTGTATAATAATACGCTGATGTTATCACTTTTTTCGATTGATATTGGCGCTTTACTACTATTGGATGTAATTTTTTGCCATTCGGTACATACTATATTGGATTTTTCATTTTCTAAATTTATTTAGTTTTGTTCCATTTGTAATTAACTTTCCTAATTTTGTTGGAATTGAACAAAGCACTTTCCTAATGATTACGGTTTGTGTTGAAGAAATGACGTAATTTATCAATTTTTAAGAGGGGGTCTCCCTACCCGTTTTTTTCCAGCAGTTTGTGGAGGACACTTCGAAGTATACGTCTCAACAAGCTTTCAGTTTCCGGATTTATAGTTTATGATAAAAAAAATTTAAGTTTTTTTCAGGTTTTTGCCCTATTTTTAAAATTTCAATAAAAACTTCATTTTTTGATATGAAGAGTTAATTCTAGCGTAGTTCGATAGAGAACATTAATTTGTATAAGGAGAAAAACTTTACATCGTTCCCAAATGAAGTTTGACGGAGAAATTTAACTTTCACCTTCCCCAGGAAATTTTAAAGCTAGAAGTATTTTGAAAAAAGCCTTACGGCTAGTTTCGCTCGAAGCAAGCATTTTGAAGCAAAACTTTTGGTACAAAAGTTGTTCGGAATCAAATTCTGCAGTCCCTCACGAGAGCTTTTTTTAAAATTCTCTTTTTTGCTTTTTAAATTGAAAAATATAAAATTTTAGGATTTTAAAAACCGTAAAATTTAGTTTAAAAACCAAAAACAGAAAATTTTAAAAAATGCTCTCGTGAGGGACTGCAGAATTTGATTCCGAACAACTTTTGTACCAAAAGTTTTGCTTCAAAATGCTTGCTTCGAGCGAAACTAGCCGTAAGGTTGAGCCAAAAAGCAGTAATATTTTCAAGGTTTTAATTTTTCTCTAAGCCCTCCCAATTTGTAGAGGATCCTTGGAAGTATATGTCTTGAAGTTTTCTCAGCTTACTTACATTTTTTAACTGAGAAAAAAATTAATTACTTAAAAAAATGTTGTTAAATTTTTGAGCACGGGGTTATTATTATAAAATTTTCTGTCCATTCTCCATTCATCATAAAAACTTAGTTCTTGCCTAGATCGATAGAGAAATGTGTGGAGAATATTTACTACGAGAAAATATATAAACATTTTTGTTCTTTTCTTCCGGTTATTGACTAATTAGTACTAATTAACGTTAATTTAGCCTACTCTACCAGCTTAAAGTCCCATTTGTAAAATAAGGATTCAACAAAAAATTTCAAGCAATACCTCATCTGACAGAGAATTTCACGAGCTACAAGACAGGCTACCTTTAAGTCTGTTTTTATTCCATTAAAAGTCTCAACATAGTCTTTGTTTCCAAAAAACATAGCAACTTAGTGAATTCACTACTGTTAACGGCCAAAAAATAGCAAGTATATAAAACTGATATCTCTAATGAGCTCCTGCTCCATATTCAAAAATATCACGTTCAGCTGTCAGTAACTTTGAACGAGCCTGTTTTTTCTGTTCAATTACTGTCTCTGGTTTTGCTATTACAGACTCGGCCTTAGCAGGACGTTTTGAATCTTTTGTTAATGAACTGTTCAATAATGAATAATTAACATCTAATCCTAATGTATCGATAAATGGTAACAGACCAACACGACCACGATTGAAAATTATAACTGCCTCAGCTGCTGCACCACTAACACTAATAAAGCCATGATTTTTTGATTTAGACAAAATAAACCATATCTAAACACAGAACAGGTAGTAGAAATGCCAAGGTGAACAAACGATTATAATTACCACGGAATTCAGAGACTCATTTGAATTCTGAGTCAGCCCGCGTAAACTTCTACGAAGAAGTTCAGGGTCTGTCAGATCCCCGATTATTTTGGATAATACATCACGAACTACAGGATCTAATCTTTGCTTGACTTTATCACCACTTTCTGGTTGATTTGTATATTTTGATTTATGAAATGAGCACCAGGTATCCGGAGTAGTAGAGCAGTATTTATGCTGAATAGATTTATTTTGATCATTGATATTATGATAAAAGGCTGCCATGCACTTTTTCTTCATCAGTTGAACAGCTGTTTCTTCCTCCATGTCTATTTGCCGATTACTCGGCCGTGTTGCCGAATAGAGTGGCCATGGTATAAATGTAAGTTGTTGAGCAATTAGAAGCTGTGTGATGGCAGACGTTAATGGAATTTCGGTAGGGAAAGTTGTATTTTCCATAAACGCAAACCGAACAATGGTTTGAATTAACTCATGAAATTCAGTCGGAGCCACACATATCGTTGATGGCTGTATAGAGAATATTATGCTCCACTCGGCTCTCCAATCGATCAACTCTGCCAGCTAGGTATAGCAGAGACTCATTTATGGCACGTATATCGCCTTGCTGGCGATTTGATCTTTCAATAATACTATTTACTACTTTATTGGTTTCATTGAGCTCAGCTCCCAATAATATCATGCTGTCCTTTAGTAATGCGGTTTGTGCCATAGAGACCTGAACGTTGGCCATGGCCGTTCTAGCAATGCCCTTTCCTCAACAGATGCTTCCAGTTTAGCGATCTGAATAGAATTAGCTACTCCCACGCCGAGTGTTGAGGTAGCTATTCCAAAATGTATATCTTTATGCTGCTATAATTCTCATGGTGTGTGTAACACCTTAATCGGACAATTCAACCGTGCGAAGAAAAGAAGAAAACAAAAAATTTTATTTGAAATTGACTAACCTATTTACACCTGTACATTTTGGTTAACCAGTCGTTGAGTAATTACAAAGACAACCGTGTTATGGGTTTTTTCCCCCGTTCTGACCGTCTCGGTTGTGGATTATTATGTATCATGGATAGATCGGCGGATTTGCCCTTTTTATTGTGCAATTATTCTGATACCGGGTGGTCTTCTGCCAGGTTTAGATCCATGAGAGGAGTTATAGGAGTAACCGACATAAGGGGTTTTATAGGTGCTTGCGGAGCCAAATAAGGTTTTAAGCGGTCAGCGTTAACCGTACCCATGGTTACTCGGTCTGACAATTGTTGAATCTTGAACGTAGATGCAGTGATTTTTTCTAGTATTTTACACAGACCTTGCCACCGTGGATGAAGTTTGCTCACGAATGCACCGTGTGGGGTGGTGACCCAGACTAACTGTCCTGAGGTAGTGTGTCGGTCGTAGTATGCCTTTTGAGTCAATTTTTTCACTTGCGCGTGCTCCCTGGCTACTTGATAGGCGTATTTCAGATCTGCTGTAAGCCGATCTCGGTAGCTTTTAGTGGCCTTTTTTTGATCATCCGGACTTCCCGGTGGGCCGCTGGTCGTGTCTCCAATAAGCAGGTCTAGAGGAAGGCGTGGATCGCCAGATTCAGAAAAGCGGGGGTTTCTCCCGTTGATTCATTGACCGAAGTTCGAATTGCTAAGGCTAGCTTTTGGAGCTCCTTATCCCAGAATTACCTTTGCCTTCTGCATATTGTGATATCATCTGTTTAAGGGTTTTGTTAACTCGCTCCATCATGTTCGTTTGAGGATGATATGTCGCCGTATATTTATTTTTTACGGATAGGTCTTTACAGATTGATGTAAAGATCTCCGCACGAACTGCGGGCCATTATCTGATAATATGTACTTGGGACAACCAAAGCGACAAATGACTTCGTTTACTATGAGTGCACCAACCTCCCAGGCGGTTGTTGACCTCATAGGAAACAACGGGTAAAATAATCGACCACAACGAGCACAAATTCTTTACCTCGTTGCATTCGAGGATAGGGGCCCATTAGGTCAACTCCAATTGTGTGCCATGGCTCAGTGGCAATATGCATCTGCATCGGTGATGATGCCGGTCGATTTGCGTATTTGAACTTTTGACATGAAGCACACTCCATGATGTGTTTATAGACATCTTTTCGTATGGTCGGCCAATACACTCGCGTAAGGAGGCGGTACAGGGTTTTGTGGCTCCCTGAGTGCCCAGATGTTGGATGGTCATGAGCCCACTCCAGTACTTTTTGTTGCATTGCCTTAGGGATTACCAGAAGGTGTTTAGAGCCTACCGGGCGCTGATCAGTATATCGGTTTGACGGACGAGTTTTGTATAGCCATTAGTGAGTACGTGGCAAGATTATTATTCACTTCTACGTCTGGAGATATTTCAGCTAAAGTACTCTGTCCTTCCAGAAATCTAACGCTTTGTGCCCCACCGTCGATTTGTAGATTATGCTTCTTGATGAAATCGTTGCCGAGTAGGCAGAAATGTTTCAGATCCGGAAGGACAAATGCAGGATGGTGTCGTGTTATGTTGTGGATCGTGACTGCTATAATCAGGGAGTGTGAAGGTGGGCTGATTACCGAGCCATTTAATAAACGTAAGACAACGTCTGGTTGCTTTCCACCCCATCTATAAGGTGGCGAGACAATTGCTGGAAGGCCTCGGGACTGATCGCAGAGAGTGAGGCTCCAGTGTCGATCATGAGTTTACATGCTAATTTGTTGATGGAGCCCGGTATTTTTAGAACCTCCGGTGCTGAGGGAAGGTTATAGTTAAGGGTGTGTACCGTGTGACATTCTGTTAACGAGGATTTATTTGGAGTACTGGGTACTGAATCTCGCCACCCCGCTGCAGCGAGATTCACCTGTAGTTTTTTGGATAATACTGTCTCGGTTTTTTATCGGAACATGTATTTGCCAAATGATGTGGACTCGCGTAGATGTAGCAGTGTTTTGAAGTAACCGAACGGGTCGACAAAGTTGCCGCCGCGTGAGTCGTCAGCGCAATAAGGTTTCCAAACGGGAAAAACCTGACTCAAGTCAAAGTGCAAACTTCGACGAGCCTCTATAATCTGAAGAAAATCAAAGTTTCCGGTATTCTCAACAAATGCGCGACATGGGCTGTAACGCGACACTTCGCTGATCAAGGTTTTTTTGAAGTTTCTTCATCGGAAAATCGATAGCGGCACATCAGTAGACGCAGCTTTTCATGCTGATCACGAATTGGACTTTTTTAAGAAGAAAAAATTAATTTTCAAAAAAATTTTAAAAAAGAAAAAGAACAGAAAATTAGACAATTAAGTAGACGTCTTTTATCCATATGATCGATCATATGTTCTATTGAACATTCTTTTCGGCCGATAGACTTGTGCTCATAGAGCACAATTTCATCCGAACACTTTTAGTTTATATTTTATTTCATTAATAGATTTACCATAGCTTAGATGAGTAAACAAACTTTCTTTGATAGTTCTTCTTCTCTAGTCTGTTTCTAGAGTTAGTGTAATGTTTCGGAGTTATCGAAGTCAAATTCATGGTTCTCATTGATCGAATGTTGAGCTAAGACTGAGGTAAGTTTCCTTTTTATTATATCCTTTTTGTGTTCTTTCATACGAGTCGTTTTTTCTCGATTTGTTTTTCCTGTGTATACTGAATCACAATTGTTGCATCTGACAGGATATACTAGTTTCTTGCTTTTCTTAGTTTCATCGATACCTTTTTGCAATGGAAGAAAGATATTTTTTAATGTGTATGACTTTTTGAAGGCAATATTTATAGTTACATGTGGTAATAATTTTTTACATAATTTCTTGATTTATTGTGATAAGATCATGGATTCTTGCCCGTAATAAGATAGTATAAAAAATATTTCTTTCTTTTTAACTACTATTTGTTGCTCTTGTGTTCCTGTTATTCTCTTATGTATCACTTTTGCTGCTCTTAATCCTCTTCTAATGATGTGATTAGGATAACCATTTTTAATTAGTACTTTTATTAATTCTTCTGTTTCTGCTTTTATAAAGTCTTTGTTTGAGCAGATTCTTAGAATTCGTATATATAGGGACTTAATTAATCCAAGTTTGTACTTGCGAGCTTGGTTGCTGTCATAGAGTAGGTAAAGGTTGGTACTACTATCCGTTTCAAAATAAAAGAGACCCCACTGTAACTTGAGTAACGTTTGATAGGAAGAAGATAGAGACCTGCGATTTTCGCTGTTCAATAGCCAAGACTTGAGCAGAACTTTTCACAAGCGGAAACAACTTTTGAAAAAATTCCAGAGATCGGATTTTCAGAGGATCTTTGGAAAACCAGCTCCGTTCTCAGAAAACTAACATACAATGTTAGTAATATTTCTGCATGCGTAGATAGTTCGGACGTTACTCTACAAAATTATGCAAGTCCCGGCTCTCTAGCTATCGTCGCTCGGGCAGGGCTCGCTTTCCCCGAGCACGTGTCTATCTCCGAGCAGACATCTCTGGAAATCTCAAAACGCCATGGACTATAGGTAACCGACTACGCTGAGCATGGTAGCAACATTTGTTTTTGTGTAGAAATGAATATAACTTCGCTAGAGGCATTGATGTGAAAAACCGGTTTTTCGCCTGTTACTAGCAAGAATTAAAATCCTTATATCTCGATCAAATCTCATGCTGACTCAAGGAAATTTTAAGGAAAGGCTTAAAAGGTGCCATATGTTGTTGACCACGCCGAAAAAGTGATCCAGCAGAACACTGATGCTCTGAGGGTAAGCTTTTTTTAGTGTAAGATATTGCAATCGGATAATGGCAAAGAATTCACCGCGCAGGTATTTTGAACACTATTGTCGTTCTTATTTCGAGTTTTATACAACTTCTTTTACGTTGTTCGAAAGTAATCAAAGATTTGAAAATAATATGGCCAGGTTTAGTGATTATTAATGGTAGACTAAGACATCCACGGTCTCAAGGGCTTGTTGAGCGTGGAAACGCAACTCTATGTGATATACTGGGAAAGTTTTTGCATGATCGAGGGACCGATCACTGGATCCAATGTTTAGGTGCTGTTATGTATTCAATGAACACAAGTTTAGCACGGGGTGTTGACACAGTTCCTTTTGAAATTGTGTTCGGTCAGAAACCAAGAGTTGATTTAGCGTTGTGGCAAGTAATAGCGGAACAAGGTATTTCTTTATCCCATTCTACGACTTACGATCTAACACTCTAATTTATGATAATAGGGATACAGGATGAGGAGGATTTACCAGACACAATTGCTCATCAACTGACAAGTGAAGGAGATTTAACATCTGTCAATAACCAACCAGCTTCATCTGCTACAATTCACATTTAAGTACATCTAATAAAACCGATGATCTTATTAAACAGCCACATTTTGATGAATCTAGTCGAGCAAATCTTGGTTCTCAAAATTCACAACATATGTCCATCAGAGATAGAGCTGCTGAGGTATATTTAGCCAATGCTAACAAACGAATAACAGCTCATAATCGGTGCGTTCAACACTTATCGGAAAATTGTGCTGTTGGTGATTTTATTGGAGTCAAGATAGATAAAGTTGACAGAACCAGTACCGATCCAAAACCCTTACCGTGTGTTATTATTCATAAAAAGCATCATGCCGTTAAAGTTGCATGTGTAAATGGAATAATCGATCAATGGTGGCCTTTAGAATCATTAGTTCGTTTAACTGCGGTGCCTCAAG